TTAGTTTGAAACCCCCCCCCCCCCCCCGCATCGCTTCCAAAATAAAAACATACTGATATAAGTTTGAATATATATAATTCATTTTCGAAAATAAGTCTTTTCGACGTCTTAACTTTTCATTTATATCAACATTACCATGGATTGAAAAATATTATTACCTGGTTGGACAACAAATCCACCAAGTTCCAATTTTGGGCTGATTTCGTCTTCTTTTTTGCATGCAGAAAAGCATTCTTTCCAAAACCACTTCTTTTGGAATCAGAATTTACTTCATTGCAACCTTTGATTTAAGACCAGTAAGGTATTCATTCTTTGTAATTCTAAGAGGACCCTGGGACGTAGGATCACCTGTGGATTTTATGATGAAATATGGAGATCACGAACAGTGTTCAAGCTCAAAGTCCATTAAAACAATACAAATCGGGAGCAGAGCAAACACGGACCTCCAAAAACATCAGAGGTGGGATCAGGTGCCATGGAGGAGTGAGCATCCCCTGCCGACCGATCACACCCGCCGTGTGCTCCTTGTCATGATCGGTAAATTACGGAAAAATCCGTCGACAAATCAGTGTGTAAATAATGGATTAACAATTAGTATGAAAAACGTCAGTCAGCATTTGACTTAATTATAGATTGTATTTGCTGACAAGGTCATTGTATCGACCATAGAACTTACGAAATTATGCCTTTAAACGAGACTGTTGATATTCTTGTTTCATCAACTTGTTTATCAATAACTTAATACATCGTTCTAGAAATTGTTCATACGTAGAGCATGCTCTTGTGTATCGAATCATCTGAGCGATATACACCCCATATCCAGGTGATAAGGGTATATTGCTGCATAAGTAACGAAAGGGAAGTTGACGATTGAAAAGTTAAAGTCATAACGTTTATCATAAAGCTTTGTTGTTAGATTACCACTAAGGGTTTTTTTCTAGTAAAATATCCAAATTTGAAACAGATGTGTCAGACTCTGTGGTATCTTTTATTTCAAGCTCACTGGGATATATCGTGTCGACATATGAATGGAAATAACTTGTTAATTGATAATATGTCGCCAAAATGTCTAAATGTCGAGTGGAAGGCCGCCGCAAGAGATTTCTTTTTATGATATACAAATATAAGAATTTGAATAAATTCTGCTCCATATGAATACAAAAATATGTCTGCTAACAGCGGGGCGCAATTATTATCCATGGGAATTCCAACAGATTGTTGGAAGACCTGGCCTCCAAAAACTACATAGATATTGTCAATCAGAAACTCAAGCATCTTTTAAATATCAACTTCAGAGTACATGTATGTACAATCAGAATGTTTTTTAACAAAATAGTATTGCAAATGACAATGACTAGATAAGTAAATTTACGAGTTCGATCTTAAGTTTTGATGTTATTGATTTTGATAAAATTTTGTGATTTCAAATTTTCCAAAAGTTCCTTGGAATTTTGAAGTATCCACATCTAATTCACACAACTTCTCCAATATATTGTTGCACAGTACTCCTGAAGTTTCTTCTTCACTGCTGTTAATATTTTAGTGAGGAGTAAAGAAAGAGGCTTGGTAGAATACTTACTGGAACCCGCTATGTATCTTTGTTTTTAAGGATTTTTATAAAGTTTCGGAATCCAATATAAATATAGTAATTCAAGTTCATTTTGCTTGTTGGTAATATTAGAAATATTCAAAACTGACATATGATTTTTAAGAATTTTCTCCTTAGAAAGGGAGCTTTAGATACATATACATTTACACATTCACTCAACAGACTTTGCCATGAAATAAAGATATATTTAGAAAGTCAAAATAAAATTTACATTGTTTTTTGCCTGAAAAATGCATATTTTGACCAATATCTTAAATCACTGGCCCCAACCTTTTCTTTCACTATTTCAAACTACACGATACTTCCAACCGATCAGCACTAAAGTCTTAAAAAGCTTAGTACACAGAAAAATTAGAAAAACTCTGATCCCTAGTGTGGCCCCGTTTTACCCCCAGCAGACCATGATTAGAACAAACTTGGATCTGTACCTCCAGAGGATGTTGGATATTAATATGAATCATCCTATTCTTGAAAAGATTTTTTTCACATTCCAATGTAATACCTTAATCTCCTATTGCAGCTTTATTCAACCCCCGGGGGCCACAATGAGAACAACCTTGAATCTTTTCTATCTGTTAATGTTTGCATATTTAATATGTCTAATCGTGGTCCTGCTTTTCTTCAAAAGATTTTGACAATTTTCCTATATACACGTGTATATCAATCCAAAACATTGACACCCCCCCCCCCCCACTTCCACACTGTGGTCGACTCTACCACTGGTGTCCATGATTTGAAAAACTCAAGTAAGTTTCTTCTCCATCCCAGTATTTCTTGTGAAGATTTTTTGTGCATTTTATTCCCATGTAGTACTTTGATGCCTTGTCATGGCTCAACCATAGCCAAAGGGGCCATGATTTGAACAAATTTGAATCTACATTGTATGAGGATTCTTGCATCATGGTCAAGTGGTTCTTGAGAAGAAGACTTAAAAGAATTCTTCCTATATTTTCCTAAATAAAATTTGATCCCCCAGTTTGGCCCCACTCTACCCAAGGAGGCAATGATTTGAACAAACTTTATTCTTCTGTCAGAAAGCTTTCAAACAAGTTTCATCTTCTCTGGCCCAATGGTTCTTGAATTTTTTTTCAGACATCCGCCCAATATTTCCGAAAGGAATTTGTTTTCATAACGCCTCATCTTCATTTAATGATAAAATTATACGAAAGTTTCACAGAAATCTTTACCAGCATTCAACCCCTAAGAATTACCTGGTATAATCTAATATTAATATATTGTACTGATCATGGCGGAATTTATTATTAATACATAGTACAGGATATAACTAACACTCCACCTTGTTGTATCCTACATATTTCTATTTACTAATATACTCCATCTTCGTAGAATGTTTTCGAAATTGATTGTGATATGTGTCTTCTTTTTTAACTTTAAAGAATGTTTCGCAGTGACTCAAGGTTTGTACACAAAAATCACTTGTGTGGATAGTTATTTCTTTTTAAAAGGTGTATTGGTTGAATTCAAATTAAGCATATTTATTTATCATGTTTACATGTTTCTTGATTAGGCTTATAGTTAGTATTTTTAACAGAAAACTGGGTCACTTTATCACTAAGTTCTGTAGAAGAAACATGGAGTCAGGCCATGAACCTTAGTAGCACTCAGTGCAATGTTTTTAGCAGTGACATCCTAAAAGACCTCAACAAGGCGCGAGCATCCATTGCCACAACTGCCATAGGACAACTTGGTTGGATTGGAGCTTACCGTTACTATACACATTGGATCCGCCTAAAACGTAACAAAATATATTGAAATGTAAAGTCATTCCAACGAAATTTCACTTATATATTACTGTTATCATTTTTTGTTTCTTTGTTTGTTTTATCTGTCTTTTTTATGGTTGTGTTGGTAATTTAAATTCTTGTTTTAGTTTTGTTGTTTATATGTATGTTTTGCTTTCCTTCGTCTATTTTTGGTTCGTTTGATCATGTTATTTGTTTTTTATGGAAAATGACTAAATAACATGGCCGTAGGAACCAGGGGGGGGGGGCACGGGGGGCCGTGCCCCCCCCCCCCCAATAATTTTTGCCGATAGATTACTATAGTAAACATAGATACTATATGCTTGTGCCCCCTCAATAGAAACGTCTGATGACCTTTTTTTTTTTGCTTGTCAAGGAATTTTTGGTAGTTAATGACCTTTTTTCTTTTTTCGCTTGTCAGGAAATTTTTAGTTGTGCCCCCTCAACAGTCAACTGAAAAATGTATGGCTGTGCCCCCCCCCCCCCCCAACCGAAATTGCTTCCTACGGGCCTGAATAATGACACTGTCAATATAGAGTTGAAGATCATACAGATATTAAATCATTGATACCTTGCACATCCATATTTGGATGGATGTGTATCCATACTAGGATATATATAGAGGATATTCAATGTTTTGTAGATGAATATGGAATTTATTTCACGAGTGGGACAGGATTTTTTGATATTTTCACGAGTGCGAAGCACGAGTGAAAATATCAAAAAATCCTGTCTCACGAGTGAAATAAATTCCATATTCATCTACAAAACATTGAATTTTCTGTTTATTACATTTTCGTTGATTTTCCTTTTGCCTCTGTCTTCTCTTAACACAGTGTAATAGCTTGACGTCATAGTTGAGCGGTTGAGACGTCATAGCTTAGCAGTTGTGAGATTGAAAAACATTACTTAGCATGGATTTTAGCAACATATTTGGGAAGAAATGTGCAGTTTTAGCTCTACCAAGATGGTTAGTTACTATCTCTATCTTATGACAGGCCAGAAATTATTTTTTACTTACTTTGATATCCTTTCACACTGTGAGAGAATATCATTTTGGTATCCTTTCACGCTGTGAGAGAATATCACTTTTATTCAATTAATAAATCACAGTATTTCACTGTTGAAAATGTAATAAATACTAGTAAACTATTTAAACTGTAAATGGCTTCAAAACGATGTTCTTTGCTGACCTTCACTGTTTAAAATCAATTATTTTGCAGGTTGTAGTCTCGTTAAGCCATCTGACATACAGTTAGTGTCGAGTACAATTATTCATGGTGGTACACAAAACAGTGTAACATTCTGCACAAGTGCATGTCGAAATTCCCTGGGGACTGTTAAAATATTTGCTCTAAGTGTAAGATCTTACATTTCAAATGAGGCATTTATTTTCAAAATTCAAATTTAACCAGTGCAAGCTCAAAGTGTGAAATTATTCCATCAGTAGCAGGGGCATAAATGAACTATTGAACATTTTTATTATGTTATAGGAATTCCATTGTTTCTGTCTATCAGAAAATCCAGTTTCTAGGGGAACGTGTGTACCCACTCCTTGTCATGGTGACGTTAGAGATTTCTGTGGTTGTCATGGCGACAACTATCAACATGGAAATGTGACAGACGTCATGATTTACGAAACTGGTCAGATTCATTGAAAAGAAATTGTCTCCAGTGACCTTTACTTACTCTGTCTGAAATGTATTTGTACATCAAGGTTTTGCAATAAAAAATAGCTTCAGATATAAATCATGTATTAATTTCATACCACGTAAGTCAAGAATAAGACAACTTCACTCTTTTCAATATATTCCAATTGCAAATAACGACTTCGTGTGCTACATGTATGTCAATATCAGATCAGCATTTCTGTTCTCATCGTGTTATATTTTGCTGTCTTGCATTGTTTCAGATGCCAACATTCTATTGATTTGATGTGTTCTGATTTCAGACACCACCCTCGTTACAAGTGGATCTGGGGAATGTGTGACGGTGGAATATACTGGCGATGTTTTTCTAACAGGATTCTCAAAAACTGTGCGAATTTTCGAGAATCCTTCAGATGAAGATTGCACCAAAGCACATGGAGTTATATGTAAACTAGGTAACTAAACTCTTTTTTACAATAAAGCGTAAGTACCCTTAGTGTAGTATCTTAGATATTTCATTTAATGATTTAATGAATTAATGTATTTGATAAACTAGAGAAAAGATTGTTGGAAAATATTCCACAAACATTTGAACAACAACAACAAAAAACAAATAATGTTACTATCTTTAAATTTAAGAGGGGGCAGTTATTATTAACCTTTCTCGAATATTCTACAACGATCCCAGAAAAACATGGTCAGACGCCGTTTCAAGGTGTTATCAACAGAGTGCATACCAGATATCGACGGACCTAGATAGCCTTACACAAAATAACAGTGCTCTCAGCAATTCAGAAAATGCCTGGCTTGGAATTTTTAGAAGACACTATAATTTCACCATCAATACAAAACCAGGTGTGTCATAATAACTGATATGTAATACCATTCATATGAATCGATCATATATCATAACTTCTGTTTAGCCAAGGTCCCCAGAATACCAGACATGAAAAAGGGTACAAATGTACAAGTGACCCAAAATAATTATTGGAAGGGATAAAGAAATTCAGAGTCTGTTAAAATATCATTTATGTAGATTGAAAATAATCATTCACATTACCTAATTTCTCTTTCTTTCTTTTGAATTTTTTTTTAGACATCTTGTCTACAGAATCAAATATTCACTGCATTGCTGCCTCAGTTGATATCACTGGTAATATACAACTCAGTAATCACAAGTGCAATAAATCACTTCCGGTATGGTGTATGTTACAAGCAAATGTGACGTTGAGCTCTTCTACAACGCCAATAACGACATCACGTACCACAGACGTTTCCACAACACCAGAAAATATGGTCACAAACAGCGTCAAAGGTGAATAATTGAATTTTCTTGGAGAATTCATGTAAAATGATAAATGAAACACACATCTTGAAAATTTCATGCAATTTAGTGAGTACATGTGTAGATGTTTTGCACCAAAGCCATATTTTTCAGATCGGGTTCTGTCCTCTAAGAAGTATATCGTAAGAGTTTCAGTTTAAGACTTTTGAATCTAATTAATTGATAACATGTAATACAGTATTTACAACAATTTTACCTTCCTCAGCGTTTGGTTTTCCTTTTTTCTTTGCAGCTGTATCATCTTCAGTAGAAATAACACAAGATATAAGTCTACTCATCACTACTACTGTATTAGCCACTATCGTGGGAATCGGGATTCTGACAGCTATCATCATACTATTAAGGTTTGGAAAAATAAACTGTCTTTCTTTTCAAAGTTATCGATGTTTGTAACACTGAAATATAGTAAGGAATCGTTTCATTGTAAATGACTTTTTATTTTATTCTTTTAGAAAAATTTTTAAAAGTCGAAAAACTCAATCCAACGTTTCTATTAGACATGCCATTCCAAATCATAAGAGGAAAATTCAGAAAAACAAATCAAAGTCGCATTATGAAGAAAGCCTAAATGCCGTATACGAAGAGGACATTTATTCAGTAATAATTGACAATAATGAAGAGATACCAAGATATTCAGAGGTCATTTATGATGACGTTGAAAACAACGACACCAAAAACATCTCTTCACAGAAGTATGTTAACACTTTACCATCTTTAGGAAGAACAGAATCTTCAACCAACTCACAACTGAAAGAAATTCCAGAGTATCTAGAAATTATACCATATGAACCACAAAATATAAGCGAGAAAACAGGTGTTGAATCAAACTGTCAAGAGACTGGTGATTTCTGTAAGCTAAATAATGAAAACGGTGCTGCAAACGAGGAATCATCGATGTTCTCGGATGCAAAGGAAGCTGTGGATGGCAAGACCACCGTCTAAGTTTCTGAGAGGTTCTGAATGTTCAGAGACAGGGTAATAAAATCAACCAATTGAAAAAGAAGCAGAGAATACTGGTATTTTTAAAAGGCATGAAAAATATTGAAGAAACTGTAAGGCAATCTGTTCCGTGCCTTAGAGTCAATGGAGAAAACTAAATGTCATTAATGATGAAAGAGACAAAAAGGGATCATCCACATATCGCCAAAAGAGTGCAGCACCCAAATGTCACTAATGATTAAAGCTTAGAAAAATAAATCATTCAAATGTCACTGATAGGTGATAACTTAGGCAACAAATATTGAATCATGTAATTGTCGCTTACCACCAAAAAAGATCAGGGCATGTATTCTAAATATGGCGAACAAAGAATGAATAACCAACGCCAGTTTACTCAAATACCGACAACAATGAAAGCTACAAAGATGTCAGCAAAGAAACAAACAATACACTGAATATGTACGACAGTATACCTGTAGACAATCCTAATCACGTGATACCTCAGACACACCGGTATACGTCCATCGACATTGTACCTGAAATTTATCTTTAATTATTCAGATCAATTAGGGAGAGACTATAGACATCGCCGAAAGTAACTTTGAACAGGGAGGATTCACGACAAAAGATGAATAACTTGTACTTCAGAAACGGACAGTGTCTTTTTCGGTTTTGTTTGATTTGTGTGTTTTTTTTTTGTATGTTTGTTTTATTTTTTTATTTGAACTTTGTTTGTTTGATTTTGTTTATGGATTATTTCTTTCATTATAAGGAGCATGTGATTCTGAATACAAAAGTTTTAGAATGTCAAAATAAAAGTTTTCTTTTCAATGATGTCAAATCTTGTGGATATTGTAAATTGAATCATGAATAACTATATAACATCGATTTCTAAATACTGTATTTAATTCCATTCAATAAATTTATTTTTCCCCTAAAATTTACCCATGTAGAAGTGAACCATTTTCCAGCTCTTTATTGTATATTCTATTTAATTTTTTAATCTATTTTATACAATGAATTCAAACATGAATACGACGCACACTTTATAAAGCACAAACATATATATATATAACATGAAAATACTTGTAAGTGTAATCTCATTCAAAATTAGGTATTCCGTTATTTGAGATTTTCGAATAAAACTGACTTCTTTTAAAATAGCTAATTTTGGAGTGTACAACATGATCAACGATTTGTAGTTGCAATAACATTCTTTGGTGTAAATAACTTCATATATTTTAATCCTTCCTCATGACCACTATTAATTTGACCTACTTTGGCTACTAAGTATCTACTCCAGAAATAACATAAAAATGACATTAAAACATAAATTCTCTCGCTCAGAAATTGAAAGAAGAAAACATTTCTTTTTCAGAAACAATAAAATTTTGTAAAGCAGGGCGTAACTTTTGAATCCTTTGCAAAGGAGGAACAAAATTTTAATTTAGATCCTTTATTGAAAGCTTCTGTGCATATCCTTACAGAAACCCGGCAAAATTGACAATTTTCCCCTCCTTTCAAGCCGTACAAGTTTTGATCAACAATGCATTTGTTGTATTTTTGAACTGTGAAATTTAAAAATATTAAGTTGACTATTAAAATAGTAAGTTGTAGATATTACAATAGAGGGGTCACTTCTATTACATTACAATGCGGACCTCGTGTTAGAATCATACAGGCTTCCGATGGTTCGTGAATTGCTCGCTTCCGGTTGACGTTGAATTTAGTTATTTAATATCCTTGCCAAATTGAAATCATATTATTTATATAATGGGATGGGGTTTTCTTTTATGTGTATTGTCAACGATTGTGCTTTTCGAAAATGAGTTTTGCCATGGAACTGGTAAGCTTTGATTTTATTTTGTTTATTCCATTTTCTTTACATAATATTTTTTCTTCTTGTGATCATATTTCTATATAAGATTCTTTAATTCTGACATCAAGTAAGACAAAACCTAAAGTGAATGACAATTATAAACGTATAACATCTCAAAGTCTAATTGTTTTAGTTCAATTTTTCAGTTATTATTGCAAATATCAGCCAGTCGCACGGTGACTGGGAGACAGCAATGCAGTTTTGTTCCTCGCCACTGGGATCCGGGAATTCCCTGAATGTGTCCTCCATCAATGTTTCTGTATCGTCTGATTATACAGACAGGCTGGCGTGGATTGGTGCTTATGGGTTGTATTCTTCGTGGTTAAAAATGCTGGGTAATTGAGATTTTTTAATGGAATAAAATTTTCATTCAGTTTGACGACTTTCTTGAATAGATTTGTGAAGTGTTCTCATACATTTTACGCAGGCCTAATCAAAGATGAAAAAAATTAATCCACAAATGGTATTAATATACAAAACTTATATATGTCTTTGCTGTATACGAAATTCATTTTTGATTGTTTGACTTTATATGAGGATGTACGTGTATTAGTTCAAATTTATAGGATGTTTCAGAGTTACTGATTCGACACTTTCTCCCCTCATAAGTCGGACAACCACTTTGAAACAGATTAACGTTTACAACTGCTATGAATTTTGTGGTGGATTCACGTACTTTGCTCTGAGTGTGAGTATTATATCTTATGTTTACCACTCGTACCTTGCTGGAATTTTAATTACAAATGTAATTTTATTGCAATTTTACTTATGCTGTTTTATTTATAGTTATCAATATTAAGTATTGTTATCCATTTCTGCATTACAAAGTTGATAATCTTAAGGTATGTCACTCTTCAGCTTTTGGTAAAAGTTTGGCCAGGATCTCTAATATAAAACTTATCAATCATAAATATATTTTTAATAAGACATTTGAATTAAGCAATGCAGATTATACAACATTGAATTAAAAAACAGTTCTCATAATCCAATAGGTCTATATAGAAGTGATATTTCTGAAGAACATTTCTTGTGGTAAAGAGATATTTAGACGAAAATTATCAAAATTTATATTTATTCAATGTTTCGAACTTTGGTCCTGCATATTTTTACTCATAAAAAGTTTTATGCTTTTATATGCTAGGAATATCCAATGTGGGTTTCAAGTGATTTATTAAGAAAAGATTTTACAATTTTTTAACATATTTTGCCAAAAAGTCAAGATATATTGAACAAGTCAAGAAAAACTGTACTTTTACTTTTAGCCTTAAATTTGTATTATATTTTGACCCATGTTTGAAAATTTACATTTGCCCCATTGTTTTATTTTTTATTTTATTTTTTAAATATTTTATTTGTTTATTTTATTGCACAATACTTTCAATCGATCAGCATTCGGTTCATTAAAAGCTTGATATAAGAAATTATTTTATTGCCTGCTTAGATTTTTCAAATATGACATTTTTAAGTGTAAAAATGTCCCACAAAATTTACGAGTATATCATTTTCATTTTTTTTCAATAATATATATTTTTGAAAAACCTGTTTTGCATAAAATAAGATTATATTAATAGCAATGAGTACATATGGTAAAATATTACTGAGGTTAAAATGATTAACCTTAAAGTTACAATTTAAGTGCAAAATGGTCAATTTAAGTGTACTGCTGCTCAGTAAGATATTAATTATAAATACTGACCCCCCAATTTACTTCTCGATTTTAAGCTATTTATACAATATCTAAAATATACTTCTGAAATAATCCTTGATATAATCAGTGTCAGAAGTCACGTACCTTAACTTTAACATGCACTAATTTAAAAAAAAATAATGGAAAAACTGCTTTAAGAATTTTGCTTAAAATCCACATCAATGTAAAAAAAAAATAACTTCATAAAGGTAATCAAAATTAAACGAAGCAATTGAACACTTTAAAATGATTTTTTAATATCTCCTTTGCTAAAACCTAATACTTTACCTTCAGAATATAAATTGTTATTGCTTTGCTGGTGACACGATTCCTACCGTTAGTAATGGACGGTGCTATCCACAAAGATGTTCTGGCAATCAAGAGGATTTCTGCGGTGAAAATGTGACGACAAACAATTTAGTGTCTATAATGATCTACAAGATAGGTAAGTTCGTTAGCTTTCATAAAAAGGCAAAAAATCATTACAAGATTTCAGAAACTTTTATGTAAAATTCTGACACTATTTTTCTCATATTTTCAATGGGAACATCTAAAGCTATGTTAATTTACAAAAGGCATACAAACCATTCGTGGCAAAGTGGTCTTAAATAAAATTGAAATAGGACAAAATTATTTGGGACAAAAACAAGTTGGCACAGTATATGTTTAGTATTATGAAGTAGCTTTCAATTATTTTTAAGTGTACCCATTTATTTTTTTTAGACTCTGAAGATTTCGGAGGCGTGGAGGAATGTCTTGCTTCTATGTACACAGGCATTTTTACAGAAGATAGCACCAGTTATTATGGATTTCGAGCACCTGTTGTTCTACCCTGCAATACCCAGGGACTGGGATACACCTATAGAACAAGTATGTGGCAAATTTGCAGGAAAGTGGCAGGTCTGTAAATCCGCCTATTTTTGTATGTAAACAGAGATCAGGTGTTTGTTATTAAGGGAATTCTTTCTTAATTTTCTTTTTTTAAAGTCAATTTTGACAAGCACATCACCAGCATGTTCATGGAAAAAAAAATCATGAATATTTATCTTCACTTATTTACCTCACTTGACCACAGTTTACACTGTGGCGACAAAAGATTAAGCTGGTTTGATGGTAAAATATAGGTAATACAAATAATTGGCAACCTAATGTATTAGATACAATGATTTGCCAATTATTCCACCTTTTGAAACTTTTAAAATCTTTAGCATAAACTTTCCTTGAACTAGTACGGCAAAAATCTCTGAAAATTTCATTATTATCATTTTATTTTCTATAGTTTTCTTTATTCCTTTAAGGACATACGCAACGTACCTTACCTGCTGATAGTTTTTCAAGATATTTTAGGAATGACTCTAATTCTTGGCCAAATTATTCGAGTATAACCTGGTTTGGGTCAGTTTACGCTTTATAATCCGCGAAGCGGATTATAAAACAGCGTAAACTGACCCAAACCAGGTTATACTCGAATAATTTGGCCAAGAATTAGAGTCATTCCTTATTATTTAATTCTAAAATCTAGGGGTGCAACGATACACTAACCTCACGATACGATACGTATCACGGTATTCAATTCACGATACGATACGTATCACGATACATGACAACTGAGGTTAAAAAGTTTTTCAAGTTTGTCATCATATTTTTTTTAAACTTGGCAGGGTTATACAAAATGTTCCCCATTTTTTTAATAATAATCAAAATAACATTTTGTTTACTTGAATTGGATTGTTAGGTAGATCTTTGAGTTGTGACAACATTCTAAACCAATGATGAACATTTACAGGGAACTACGGGGACCTTTTCTAATAATCTTCCTTTTAAATTGGAATGAAAAAGGAAGACATTCATTCTTTTATTCCTTTTATTTACGTAGAAAACCGGTTGTCATATTTCTTGTGTTAATACGTTTTAGTCAACAAGACAGCAAATTTTCATCGAAATACACACGTGATGGAATATCGTGTATTACCAAAGAATACGTTTATAGATCTAAAGGGTTTATCATTTGTCTTAACATCTATAACTTATAATCACATTAAGTCCTTCTCCGTGTTAAATCTGAGGTCTGTAAGATGCTGGAGATGAGTTTAACTGCCATAAATGCGTTATCGGCGACCTCACGTTTTGCGCGGAAGCCATTTTGAAATAGTAAAGAAGGAAATAAAACGGACAAAACGGATAATTCTGGACCGATTGAACCGAACCGCGATATCAGTTTAGCGTATCGTGAACTGAACCGTGGAAAAATATACCGCGATATACCGTCAAACGGTTTATCGTTGCACCCTTACTAAAATCATTAAACAACTGTGGGTGTAAAATTTCGTTGCTTTTTATTAGTTCAAATTTGCCGCTCAATAATACAACCCTAGTAACGGAAGTGATGGGAAGCGAGGGGAGGTAAAAACTGATACATAGTCCTAGCAGCCATGTTGTTTTGTTTACATGTGGTAAGATCCAAGTTACTGTTTGAAGTTAAAGGTACATTTATTAAATCTGGAATTTTCCATGAATCCCGAGGACTGGAAATGAGAGGATTGCATGGATACAGACGATTCAGCTGGTTGTCAGGGGGGTGTGTCCCCATACCAAACCAGGTTATACAGAAATAATTTGTGTTCCTTTTTGGATATTAACCAATCAGAGGCTAGAATACAAACAAAATTAAATTATTCTCAATTTAAGATAATAGTGCCATTAGATGATCGTAGACAAAAAATCAGCATGCATTACCAGGGGTTTTGAAAAGACATCAATTGATGAAAATTCTTGTATAATTCAAAGAAAAATATACAAAAATTACTAAAACATATATTCTAGATGTTTTGTTTATCCAAACTTGTTTTAAGAAGAAGTGAACAACAGAATATATAGACATTAAAATGTATCACATGGTTCCTTTAAGTATTGGAACTCTTCAACTCCAGGGGAAAAGACATTAAAGTTCAAACTACGTTGCGTATGTCCTTAAATTTTAGTTTTGAATTAAATTTATTTTTCTTATTTAGTTACTGGTATTTGAGAAAATATTAACATTATTATGATAATATGATATTGAAATAGATTATTTCCTTAATACCTTTTCATTGGTCTGAGTAGTGAATTGCAAAGCTGACACTTGGTCCGATAATTAAGCAGTTCGAAAAGAATTGCTTTTCTCTTGCCCCAGCCTTGTTTAGAAATTCATATAAAAATCAGATCAGTTGAAATACCATGCCATGAAAGAAGAAATGAAGTCTTACTTTTATTCAGGACTCGATTTCCCTGCATCCCATAGCTTTCGTTTGTACACGTTACCCGTGGCGTCTTGGCAAGAGGCAGTTGACTACAGCTATGGGAACCAGTTTGGACTGTTAGAATTTGTAATTTTCCGGTTCCGTTTGCCGGACTTAACTCAACCTTTGACAGGAGATCGATACTGGGTGGGATTCCTGCGCAGACATAAAATTGAGTACGGAGCAGGTAGGTAAAATCAAGCACTTTATTTTTCTATTATTCGCAAAGAAAGGCCCAACCCTTCAATTTTATTTACTGTAAGAAACTCACCACAGGTTCTTAACATCATACACTGAAATTTATCTTTTTTTCTCTTTGTCCTTTCAGAAATACCTAGAGGTCTCCAGGCCCATTGTGTCGCCGGCAGGGTTAAAAGTAAAGGAGCACTCACATTAATGTATAGATTCTGCAATGAAAGTTTACCAGTACTATGCGAAGTGCAAAATTCAAATGAAATAACAACTGCAAGGACGAAACTTACAACTTCGTCCAGTAATCCTACTACAGTCCGAGATATTTTGTCCAGTAGTCCTATTACAATCCAGAATATCATCGACAACACTGGTACATATTGTAAAAAACAATTTCTAAAATGCATCACCTTGCAAGATAAAAATGATTTACAATTTATTTAAGAAGACATTTTTTTGAAAAAAAAAAAAGAAAATAAAAAAAAGATCATTTACTGTAGAAGCACAAATTTTCCTGGGGGATAAAATTTCGTTGATTTGTCCAAAAAATGTTTCGTGGGCATTTAACTTCGTTGTTTCGAAAGTAACCCTATTCAATATAATGTCATATAAAAATTTCGTGGAGGATTTAACTTCAGTGATAATTGTGAACAACGAAATAAACGAAATTTAATCCCCAACAAATATTTCTGCTTTTACAGTATATTTAATCTGTATTTGTTTAGTATTCCTTTATTTATTATGAGCAATCAATCAATAATTTTAGGAATCTTTTAGAAACGGTTCTTTTTTTCTTTTCGTGTGACAGGAGATACATTCGTCAACTTGAACTTGTTCATTATCATCATTGTTTTTGCTGCTGCATTGTGTATTTTGATAATATTTGGAGTTTGTTGGATAATCTTGTAAGTAATTAATTTAAATTCTTTATATAAAATATGTATATTACCTGATAGGTTGTCGTTTATAAACAACCTATTTAATTTTCTCATTATTGTGTGTCATCGCTGATCTTTTATATATTTTCATAACCTTGGTTTATATGCCTTGCTTGATATCATGATATATATTTTTAAATGAAATAATATTTGAAAGTTAATGCAAATTAGTGTGTTTGTTAAACATATAGTGTAAGAACAAGTCCGTCAGAGAAACTTTTATTTGCAATGCAGCCTTTCTGCAATTTTCCCGGAGAAATTAATAAGAAATATTAAGGAATGAGAAATGGTTTCATGATCCTTTGTTAAATTCTCCTCCCTTCTCTCAAAATAAGAGTTTAATTAAAATAGCTTCAAAAAAACTTTTTAAAACTTGACCTATATTCTATGTTACTCCATTTCTACATATTTGACGAAAAATAACGTTACAATTGTGCAAGCATGCATGTATTTCTCAATTTACTAGATTTTAATCCATATCTTTTAAAAAAATTTCTTTACCTAAAGGCAAGTAATTTGACTAGAAATATTTAAACTTTGAAGCATTCTGGTCCTCAGTTCAAGTCACAAAAACCTTTTCTGACACTTTTTAAAAAGCTATATATGGCGTATCTGAGCTAAAAAATATAAATACGAGATTGAATGTAGATAAATATGATATATGTTTTTTACATTCAAATTTGAATTTTCTCCGATTTTGAACTTGAATAACCTCATGCTTCCATAATTAAATTGATTTTAAATTGTCTGTTAATTAAATGCGGAGTCGGCAAATAAATCGGTTATTGTTTTAAATTTCTAATAACTTTGGAACATGATTGATTTATATTGTGTAATTTACAGGAAAGTCCTATCTTTATATAAAGTAATATAACCAATAGAAAGATCTTCTTAATTTTAGTTAGTCTGAACTTATAAAAACACGCCATATATGACTTTAAGAAACAAACGTTTAATGTCACAGGATAAAAGTTTTTTTTTTCTATTTTGAAATTTATTGATATGGATTTTATGTTACAGAAATCAAAGATAAGATACATGGCCGTAGGAACCGATATATAGAGTACTATGGAATACATAGATACTTTATGCTTGTGCCCCCTCAATAAAAACCTCTGATGACATTTTTTTTTTTTTTTTTTTGTTTGTCAAGGAAATTTGGTAGTTGGCAGTGCCCCCTCAACTTAAAATGTATGGGTGCCCCCCCCCCCCAACTAATATTGCTTCATACGGGCCTGAGATATATAATGAAATCAATAAAATATACACCAATGCTAAAACCATTCAAAAAACTAATTCACTATTTCAAGAAACATCAAAAATACAAATGATATACATACCTTTTGTTTCTTTGAAGCACAATAAGGAAGAAACGCCAGTCCGCCAAAAGCACGTCAACAGAAAATCTTGATAATGATGGTTTGTACACAGAGATCGAGAGCATATACAGCGTCATAACAAATTGTGACACGATCTCAACCACCTCTGATATCCAGCTGTCGAATGTGTCCATATCTCTACCAGAAAAGAAAAAAAGACGAAGTACAAAGCGAAAGGAGAAAAGGGGTTTACCAAGCGTTCCAGATCAAACTCTGCCTTCGGCGAGTAGTCCCGGGGCTTCTAGACTAGCCGATCTTCCTGTCAGAAGAAAGTCTGATTCTAATATAATAAAGGGGGTTTTAGAAATGTATGGGGAGGATACACCTCCCACTCCTCCACCAACTCCGCGCCATAGCATCCCAGATGTAGTTCCTGAGGGAGAGTACTATATTCTTGAGGAAATCAATAACAAAGAGACCCCTAGAATAAATGAAAATATTAATGTAGAGCAAGACGATGATCATTTTTATCATGTTTTGGAACGCGATCCTAAAACAGAGGTAAATACAAACAGAGATGTGGAGGCTACATTACGCGCTGTGGCCAATAGAATACCCTTGTCTAAATGGGTTGGCGGAAGAGCGGCCTCCCATGAACCATCCAGAATATCACGTGTTCTTTCTAAACGAGAGGGAAATCTGGACACGGTTGAAGAAGGATATGAAGTTGATCTTAATAAGACAAAGAAAGCCCTAAGCATGAGGGGCAGGTCTTATGGTGCGAAAGACACTTCTCTGCACCCACATGCTGCCTTAAAATCTACAACATCTACCCCTCCATTGAAGTTGTTTTATCGCGGCAGTTCTAGAAAATACAAAACAACTAAGCAGGCGACACCTCAATTTGACGCCAATGACTATGTTATTCCACTGAGCATGAAAAAGACAGATTCGATGTACGATCACATGAAACGAGACCGATTTGGGTCAACAAAATCAAGTAACGATAATTATGAAACCATGGAAAGTGTTCGTGATTATCTAGAGACTTCAGATGAGAAAAGTGCACAGGAGAATATTAATGCTAAAGAATGATTATCAGAAAACTACTTATATAAACGTAATTAACTTTAAAAAAAGTTTCATAAGTGAGAAATGTGTGTCTCAACACGCTTCAAGCAATTTCTAAACAAAAAAAGATTTCTATTTTAGAAATTAGAATCTGCTAATAATGTGATATTTGGAATTGTTTAGCTCACGATTCTGTCCTTATAATGTGTTTGAATGAAAGAACGTCAGCACTTGTGTGTCCTTTATCAACTTTAAAACTGAATTTCATTATAATCTTCTTATCTGGTCATGAAATATTGATTAGATATGAACATTCAGTATATTTCAATATACAAAAATGCATTTAGCATACGGTGTTTATTTCCTCAAGGCTACAGTTATGGTGATTCTGAAAATCTAATAAAATATAAAACTTCTTGACTTATGGAAAAAGGAAGCTGCTTTTTAAGCGTGCAGTTTGGTCACTCTGTGATATCTATCCATATATAGAAATAAACGATTCTTGGGCATAAGAACTAAATCCTTTTTCAGAAACACATTTAGAATTGAATAGGACTGTGACAGAGTATATTTGGACGGTAAATGTAAAGGATGAAGATAGCGAAAGGTGATCAATCTCATTAATCCAGTAAACAAAACGAAACGTGAAGAGGGCAAAATCACGAACCTTTGGAAACACCAGAGATGGGATCAGGTGCCTAGGAGGAGTAAGCATCCCCTGTCAACCGGCCACATCCGCCATTGACCGTATTTATTGATCAGGTAGATGGAGTACATTGTAGTCTAATTTAGTATAAAAGCATTGACTCGAAAATTGGTATGAAATATGTTAGACAAAATACGACCCATATATTTACAAACAAGGTCATTATAACTACCGTAGAATTAGAGAAATGCTGACTTTAAGTATAAAGCGAAGAAACTCCATATGCTATTGATGTTTGAAAAAAATTGGCTATTTTAAATTTTCCAAAAGTTCTTTGTAGTTTTTTAGAATCCATTTAAAGTGATTTACACCACTTCTTGAATATGTTGGAAAAAAGTCTGAAGTTTCTCAATCCCAGCAGTTAATATTTTGGTGAGAAGTAATGACAGGGGCTTTATTGAACATTTACCCTGCAATATATCTTTGTTTGTAAGGCTTTACATGAAGTTTTGGAAAACTCACTTCTATTGACTCGAATGTCAAAAGTATTTAAAACTGAAAGGTGATTTTGAAGAATTTCATCCTTTTAAGGGAACTATGAGTATAGGATGGATTACTAGTTGTGGAATTTATACCACGTTCTTCTAAAATACAGTTGTAATAATGAACCTTTCAAACAAAGTCTATATTGTTACAAGCTTGTAACCAAAACATAATTTTCATGTAGTCGTTCTAATTCTTTGATTCTATTATTACAAAAAAAAAAGAAAAAAATATTACCTCTACTTTGTCAACTTCATAGAAATATGAATAACTTTACAATTTCAATTAAAAATGTATTCCTTTAACTGGGATATACATGTAAATGGGTAATTTACTTAACCTATCCACCAGATGAGATATCTTGGAAGTGTCTTGTGTTTGCATTTCTTTTCGACACAGGTAATTCCTTAGTGTGTGACATCCGTATATTTTCACAATTTTGACAGTTAAATAAAGCTAATAATCTCAAAAAGAAAAAAGCTTCCCGTCTTTAACAACGAGTTATAGATTCCTTGTTTGAATTCAACATTTCTTTCATCCACTCTGTATCTGTCAGTCATATTACATATTATTATAAACGCGATTTTCAGGTTTACTGGTCAAGGACCGGAAGACTTAGGTGATAGTAAGGTGTCCGTCGTCCGTCTGTCTGTTTGTATGTCTGTAAATAATTTTTCAAAATGTTATTCCTCCTACAGTTTTGGTCAGATTTCAATATACCGTTTCACACAGGTAGACTATACTAAGATTCATAATTTTATATCGCTTTTTTATTCCGATGAAAAATGTTGTTATGGTTACTGAAAAGGGAATTTTTTGTGAAATTCTTTCAAAATGTTACTCCTCCTACAAATTCGGTTTGATTTTACACAAGTAGACTACACAAAGATACATAATTCTGTATTTCACTTTTTGAGTTTGATGAAATGTTGCTTAGGTTACTAAAACTAGAAATATCTGTGACATTCTTTCAAAAGTCTAACTCTTCTACAATTTCAGTTGGATTTAACGAGGCTTGGTCTAATTATTTCTACCCAAGATATTTTGATAAATTTTCTTGAATGAATTTTTACTATTATATTGATTGTTTTAAGATTAAATAATCGAATGTTTACCATCAAGATTTCTCAGGGGGTCATCTCAAAAGTTATCAAATTTTACTATTATTGGACCCAATGGGACTTTGTTGGAAAAGCGCCAAATTATCACATTTTTTCCCATATTTTTTGTACTCTGCCCTAGCGATTTCTTTTTCAGTCAAATACATGAAATTTATTGTAAAAAGTCACCAAATTGTGAAATTTCAAAAAAGTCGACCATCAGGGTTGGTCTAGAAATTATAAATTGCAAAGTTTATTTTTTTTTTAATATCCAATACCTCTAAATTTGCTATATTGCGGTATATATATCGTCGCAGATGAATTATTTTGGATAAAAATAACAATTTTTAGATTGCCGGTATATCTGTCAACAGTTTTTAGTAAAATGTCCAATGACGTCTTGAATACACAAGCAAGAGATGCGTCATTCTTCAGCGTCATGCATTGCTTACAAAAATGGAAAACAGTGATGTCATTAGAACCATTTCAGCGTTTTTTCCTAATTATTATCTTAAATGCACATTTTCAGACCCATAGACATTTGTACAGATAAAGTTAATTTTGTATTAAAAACCCTAATACGTACTTAGGGAAAGTGTAATGTCGCACCTACGACTGCATGAAATTGAAAAGCTGCGAACAGTCATGTGCACTCAAATTAGATTCTGCCTCATTAACTAAAACATTTTACTCAAGTAGACTAAGATAAGATAATATTTCAGTGAACGGTGTTGCCATGGCTACTTAAAGCCAAAGTAGAAATTTCTGTGAAATTCTATCAAAATGTTACTTCTTCTACAGTATTGGTCTGATTTCATTAAAAGCTTCTACAAAAGTAGACTACACTGTGATACTTAATGCTATTCACTGATTTTTTATTTTGATGAATGGTATTGTCATGATTACTAAATATAAAAATTTCTGTAAAATTCTTTCAAAAGGCTACTCCTCCTACAGTTTTAGTCAGATTGCAATACAACTTGACACATAAAGAGTCTAAACAAAGAGTCGTTATTCTATTTATTATCTATTTATTAATATTGTCATAGTTTCAAGTACAAACGATACCAATCTCTCATTTTTTATAATTACAAACCAGTAGAGCTACAATCTCGTCGGAGTCTTGGTTTATTATGACGATTATCACACCGTCAACAAAATAGCGAGGTTCTTCATCATGGCACAGACACACGAAGCTCACACATCCCTTAAAAATCTGAAGTATAAATCAATATATGGTCGTTTGATACTTTTTTTTATTGAAATGTACTGGTACTTTCAAAATCGTGTCACATTTTGAAACATAGCCTGCTTAGCTATTTTGTTCGAGAACATAAGCCTGCTTTATGTTACACACATTGTAAATTTTCTCCTGTGTATCTCATTTTATTTCAAAGTTAACAAGCTTTACAAAACCTAATCCACATCATATCTCAAAAATTGCAATTTCCGCCGAAATGCTATGAACACAAAATTAGAAGAGTATTCTAGCGAAAAACCTATTTCCTTCCGACGAGGTTGTCAAGGAAAACAATAATTAAATGAATTGGTAGACAAAACACAAGCTGTCTTTGTCACAGTCGCTGTGCACAAAAAATAAATAAATAATAAATTAGACTAGTTTTACATTACCGCTACATATTCAAACTAGTAATTGCGTACATATTACCGCTAAATTTATATGTATATGTTACGGCGACATCATCCGGAACACCTCGGGCCTTTCACAGAAAAACAGTTTCTTTCATTGAAAGGCCCGAGGTGTTCCGGATGACGGCGACAAAGCCTCTATCGTCAGCCAGTGTCCTATGCATATGCAAGTGTAATGTACATGTATTAAGTTGAAAGTCTTATTTTTCCGATTTTGTAACCATCAGTGATTAAACTTGCATTGGCGAGATTTGTAACCTCATTGGCGAGATTTGTAACAAACTTTGTCGTGCAACTGACTCTACATGATAATGTGATATTATTTCGACTACAGGCTGAATGAGTTATATTGAATAGAACTCATATTTTATTGTACACTGCATGTGCTTTGAGTATATGGTGAGTGAATTATATTGAAAACTCATGCCATGCATACTTATGATATACCTAGTTGATTATGTCGCGGTCACGGTAATGATTTTTAATTGTCAACCTTTTTATTGATAAAATGTAGCTATAATACACAGTCACCTAAAATCGAGGTGAAAATTAGTGGTAATGAGTTGTAATGTAGCGGTTATTGTGTTCCTCCCGTGTGATAAGGTGAGTGATAAAATATAATAATTTCATTTGGTTGTCTTTTTAATGAAGATCATTTTTCACTTAATTTGCTGATTACATTCAATTTTCGAGGTTTTAATTTTGATCAATTAATTCCATATAATTAGGTTTTAATGATAATTTAGTCATTTTTATCTTACAATGCTCCAAAGATCAGGGGCAAAACGGTTTGTCTGTGCCTTTTAGTTTACAGTTTCAAAGCTGACATAAATTCTTATTCATCCTACTCGACCAAATCTCTGTCAGATAGTCTTTTTCTTCCCATTCTACATGTATTTTGTTCTGCACATCTGTATACTATGAAAAGGCTATGGTTGGTTGTTCATAAGAGGATTTAGGATTTAATTTGTAGGCAGAAATACACACAATATATTTCAAAATAATTAAAATCATGTAATATAAGTCCTCGTGTAGGTATAAAAGGAGTTAAAAAATTAAATTCTACATTGCCTTTTATTAGAATATTAATTTTGATTCTTATTAGAATAAATACATTATATATTTATATAAGATAAAATAACGGTTTATTTCTATCACTTGTTCAAATAAGCAAAATGATCGCATGGTTAATTTTCCTACAAGTATGTTGATCCCACATTGATGGTGAAAATTAGGATGCGTGCATTGAACCATGTGCATCGAACATGATTTGAATTTTGTATGCGAC